CTGTCTACATCTTTAATTCATTACCATAAAGATTTTTTTAGCTTTTTCCTTTGCTTATATGTAAACTTGTACCAACAGTGAGAAACCTGGCTCTAAGCATCTGCCATCCATCTACTTAATTATTTAATGCCAGTATATGTGTATAGCGGCTTCACAATTATTATACCTTATCCTTGTGGGAATCAACCTTATCAACCATAGCATGTATGTATAGTTCCTCTTAGCCTTTAGTCTTACAGATTCCACTCAATTCCAAAGTTGCTTAGGTCAGTCTTTATCTCCAACCCCTTCTGTGAGGTTGTTTCATACATCTGTAATACAGTAGTACTTTCTTCCACATTTTACATTTCATCTTGGGATTGCTCAATCTTATAATTATTCCTTTTTAATTTGCACAGAGAGAGAGAGAAAGAGAGAGCAAGCACAAGCAGGAGAGCATCAGAGTGAGAGGGAGGAGCAGGCTCCCCATCGAGCAGGAATCCCAACATGGGGCTTGATCCCAGGACCCTGGGATCATGACCTGAGCCAAAGGCAGATGCTTAACCAACCAAACTACCCAGGCACCCTCTTTTTAAATTTCAAATATTAAATTTCACTCTTGCACTACAAAATTCTGTGAGTTTTTAACAAATTCAGAGTGTTGTGAATTCATACAGTATCACAGAGAAAAGTTTAACTGCCCTCAATATGTCATCCTGTGCTTCACTTATTTAACCTTGCAAAAGTCCTTTACCTTTCCATATAAATTTTAGAATCAACTTGTTGATAATCAACAAAAGAGCTTGCTAAAATTTCAATTGAGATTGTGTTGAATCTATAGAGCAAATTGGGAAGAATTGACATCTGAATAATACTGAATCTTCTAATCCATAAATATACAATGTCTACTCTACACTTACACTTTTGATTTCTTCCATCCATACTTTATAATTTTCCACACACAGAAGCTCTTAATATTTTATTAGATCAATACCTAAGTACTTAATCTTTTGGTACTACTATGAAAGATACTTTTTAAAATTTCAACATTCACTTCTTTACTACTGGTATATCAAAAAGCAAATGACTTTTTATTTTATTTATTTTTTAAAAGATTTTATTTATTTATTTGAGGGAGAGAGAGACAGAGTGAGAGAGCATTAGAGAGGAGGTCAGAGGGAGAAGCAGACTCCCCATGGAGCTAGGAGCCTGATGTGGTACTCAATCCCAGGACTCCGGGATCATGACCTGAGCTGAGCTGAAGGCAGTCACTTAACCAACTGAGCCACCCAGGTGCCCTGCAAATGGTTTTTTAAATAGTAACCTTGTATACTACAACTTTGTTATACTGGCTTTTTTTTTTCCAGGAGATTTTTTACAAAATCTTTCAGATTTATACATAGACTATTGTGTCATCTGGGAATAAAGACAGCTTTATTACTTCACTTCTAATCTGTATAATTTTTATTGCTCTCTCTCACCTTACTGCACTGGCTGGAACTTCCAACACGATGTTGAATAAAAATGGAGAGAGAACACACGCTTGTCTCATTCTCAATCTCAGAAAAAAAGGGTCCATTCTCTCACCAGTAAGTATGATATGAGCTATAAGACTTTTTTTTAATGTTCTTTATTAAGATTAGGAACTTGTCGCTATTCCTTGTTTGGTGAGTTGCCTTTTTTTTTTTAAATCAAGAATGGATGTTACATTATGTTATATAATTTTTTCTGCATTTATTAATATAATCATATGATTTTTATTCTTTAGTTTTTTCTATGGTGAATTACACTGATTGATTTTGAATGTTGAATCAGCCTTGCATGTCTATAATAAGCCTCATTCATTGTGGTGTAGAATTCTTTTATACATCATAGGACTCAATTTGATAATATTTTGCTGAATATCTTCATGTCCAAGATCAGAATAGATATTGGAGTGTACTTCACTTTTCTGGAAACATCTTTATCTGGTTTTGATATTAAAGTAATGCTGTCCTTATAGAATGAGTTAGAAAGTGTTCTTCCTGTTTCTATTTTCTAGAAGAGATTGTCAAGTATTGGTACCATTTCTTTTTTAATTGTTTTGGTAGAACTGACCGATGAAAATATCCAGGCCTGGTGCTTTCGTTTTTGGAAGGTTATATATTATTGATTTGATTTCTTCAGTAGGTACAAGACTATTATCATTATCTGTTTCTCCTTGTGTGATCTCTGGTAGTTTTGTGTCATTCTAATTTGGCCAATTTCATCTAAATTATCAAATTTGTAAGTATAGAGTTGTTTGTAGTTCTTCTTGATTATAGCTTTGATGTCCATGTGCCCTAAGATTTTAATTTAAATCCATATATGCATATACAGGTTTTTAACTTCATTTCTGTGTATTGCTATATCCCAGATAAAATTCTTTGCCAATTATTTTTTAGTTGTTTCTTTTTATTTTTTTAATTTTTTTTGTATTTAATTTTTTAAACTTTATTTTTCCACTGTTCCAAGATTCATTGTTTATGCACCACACCCCATGCTCCGTACAATATGTGTCCTCCTTAATACCTACCACCAGCTAGTTTTTTTGTTTTGTTTTTTTTTAGGTTTAAATTTTTTTATTTTATTTATTTTTTTATTTTTTTTAATTTTATTTTTTATAAACATATAATATATATTTTTCCCCCGGGGTACAGGTCTGTGAATTGCCAGGTTTACACACTTCACAGCACTCACCATAGCACATACCCTCCCCAATGTCCATAACCCCATCCCCCCTCTCTCTCCCCCCTCCCCCCAGCAACTCTCAGTTTGTTTTGTGAGATTAAGAGTCTCTTATGGTTTGTCTCCCTCCCAATCCCATCTTGTTTCATTTATTCTTCTCCTACCCCCTTAACCCCCCATGTTGCATCTCCACTTCCTCATATCAGGGAGATCATATGATAGTTGTCTTTCTCTGATTGACTTATTTCACTAAGCATGATACCCTCTAGTTCCAGCCATGTCATCGCAAATGGCAAGATTTCATTTCTTTTGATGGCTGCATAGTATTCCTTGTGTATATATACCACATCTTCTTTACCCATTTATCTGTTGATGGACATCTAGGTTCTTTCCATTGTTTGGCTATTGTAGACTTTGCTGCTATAAACATTCGGGTGCACATACCCCTTCGGATCACTATGTTTGTATCTTTAGGGTAAATACCCAGTAGTGCAATTGCTGGGTCATAGGGTAGTTCTATTTTCAACTTTTTGAGGAACCTCCATGCTGTTTTCCAGAGTGGTTGCACCAGCTTGCATTCCCACCAACAGTGTAAGAGGGTTCCCCTTTCTCCGCATCCTCTCCAGCATCTGTCATTTCCTGACTTGTTAATTTTAGCCATTCTGACTGGTGTGAGGTGATATCTCATTGTGGTTTTGATTTGTATTTCCCTGATGCTGAGTGATTTGGAGCACTTTTTCATGTGTCTGTTTTTGCCAATTATTTTACTTTCCATTATCCTTCATGGGAATATTAGTGTGTGGTGAGTGGGCTTAGATTTTGGAAGCCAAATGTCATAAATCTGGTATTAGATAAATCCTGTGCAGAAAGTGAGCCAGTGCCAAAATGAAAGGCTACCTCTGCTCCCTGCAGGAATGGTTAGAGGAGAACACAGCAAGATACTGATACAGTGGGATCCAGAAATACCTTAATAAATTAGCCAATCCTTGAGAATTTCTCTTGTACTGAGAGTTGGGGTTAGGAGCATGGAGAAAATGGACTGGAAACAGTAACTGGCCCTCACGAAGTAGAAGCTAACAGACCATCCTTGCACTGTATCCTGTTTTCCCTTAACCATTCTTAGAAGTCAAAGCGGGCCAGGGCACAACTAGAAGGGATGTGAGACCATCTCGCCAGAGCAACAGGACTTGACTTCTTTGAGCCACCATGCAAACCTTATGAGGTAAGGAAGAGGGAGTTTCTATTCTCGTTCTGCCTTCACACTTCAAGAAATCAGCATCTAAGTTTTGTGCCTGCATTTTTGGACTCTTAATTTGTCCAGTTATAGAGTTTTCAATTTTTTCATATTGTGAAGATCATTGGAATTCACATCAACATACATACACCCTCCTGCATTTGTACTATTTTCTCAGGATACATTTCTAGAAGTGTAATTCCAGTTCAGGGATATACACATTTTAATTATTCTTCATACACCTTGTCAGGCAAGTTTCTAGGTCATAAAGGCAATTGCAAGCAAAAATCAAATATCTTATTCTCTTGCCAATGTTCTTTTGCTGTAATTGGGAAGATAATATATTTCTCTGGGCATTATGGGTAGCCACTCGGCAAGTGGCAGAGAAGTCTTAGAGACTAAGTTAGAGAAAGTAAGTTACTATTACCTAATACAGGCAGTAAAAATAACTTTATAATGATGGTAGACCAGATCCTTGTCACTCCATTTGCCAAAAATGTATATGGAATCTGATCTGGGAAGGAATTCTGAACATCAGGATACCAAACGGCAGTTTGTTGAAACTGTCTGAAGAAAGGGAGTAAAGTACGTGGATATTGGGAATATCTATCACATGATAAGACATTTGTGCAATGAAAAAACTAATAATTGAAAAGTGATAAAGCAAGTCAATACTACACCATAAATTATATTATAAATCTGCTTTATTGCAATTAGAAGAGAACAAAGAACAGAAAACGTCATAGAGATACAAACCATGTTTATCACACACCTGATTACTTGTGCATTCATAACCATTGTGAGGGAGGATCTCAATATTTGAAAGATGGGAATTCCTGGGCCAGTAAAAGGAAGACGTTGCCCTACTCTGGAACAAGACCCAGGCAGTGACCTTCTGATGGGGAGCAATGGAAGCTCAGGTGGGAGAGGTAGAGACAGTAAGGAGACATGAAGGTGCTCAGCAACTTTAGCTCAAACTCAGAAAGTAAGAGAAATCAGAGACAAGAGAGGAGACGTGGCCTGAGAGAGGGAGTGCAGCCATAGACAGGGACAACGTGGGTCCAAGAGCCGATGGCAGGACTTAGTGCTTGTAGCTCTTCCTGCTGGAGGATGAGGTGGTGGTGGTGTACTTGATGGTGGAACTGCTGCCTCCAGAGGAGCTGAAGCCACCCCCCATGCCTCTGCCACTGCTGGAACTGAAGCCAGCTCCAAGGCTGTGGCCGCTGCCATAGGAGTGGCCGCTGCCTCCGCCCAGGCCTGAGCCACCGCCCATACCGCTGGCACTGCCATAGCCACCAGCACTGCCATAGCCGCCAGACACAGTGGACTGCACCACAGCTATGAAGGGGAGAGGGACAAAGACACACAGGACACAGTGAGCTCATTCTGCCAGCCTCAGTCCAGTCAGAGGAGCACAAGGGCAAGGGAAGGAGGTGAGCAAAGGTACTTACAGATGTTGACTTGTCCAACTCCTTCACCACTCAGCCTAGGAAGGGAGAAGACACGGGGAGCATGAGACATCAGAGAGCTACCAAGGGACCAGAGTGGGAAGCCTCGATGTGAGGATAGCCCATGGGGAAGCTGCCTTAGAAATGGTTCTCTGTGAGTAGCCGCTATGGCCATAACTAGGGTGCCTTCAACTTGTGCTCATGGCCCAACATCCTAAACCTGGATCCAAGATGATTGAGGGGCTTCTGTGATGAGTTACCCACCTGCACTCCTCGCCCTCCAGCAGCTTCCTGTAGGTGGCGATCTCCACATCCAGGGCCAGTTTAACATTCATCAGCTCCTGGTACTCCTTCAGCAACCTGGCCATGTCCTGCTTGGCCTTCTGCAGGGCATCCTCCAGATCAGCCAGCTTGTTCTTGGCATCCTTGAGGGCCATCTCCCCACGCTGCTCAGCATCAGCAATGGCGGACTGCAGGTTGGCACACTAGAGGAGGAACACAGGCAGGATGAACTCGAGATTTAGTCCTCCAGAGGAGACTAAACACAGTTCTTTCTAGTGAGGAAGAGTTCCAGAGTCCAATATCATAGAAAGGGCCTTCTTCCTCTTTTTGCCCAGTATTTCTCTGTTCTGCACAAATGAGTTAGTCTGGGAGCCATGTGAGAAAACCTGTGCCCTTTTTTAACCTCCCTGCACTACACTGGACAAAACACCAGCAAATTTGGAAGAAATGGACCTACTCATTTCTCTTGAGTGCCATCTCCAAAGCCAGACAAGGATATCTTCTGAAGATCTCATGTGGATGCCACACTAACTTATACAAAATTAGGAACATCCTCATTTAAGCAGATGAACTTCACATCTAGCTGCGGAGATCTTGCCTTCCTCACTCCTAACAGATTCTATCACACTTAGGCAATACTGATCTTCACCCTGGGTCCTTGCTCAACTTTCTTTTTCCATTGAATCTTCAGCAGATTTGAAACAATCTTACCCCCCTTCTGGCCTCCTTTTTTCTTTCCTGACTTGTCTCTTATATTCCTAAAACAACCACTCTCCTTAAGTAACCTCTTTAAATGTCCTAAGACTATCTTTTCACCTCTGACTAACTGGGATTATTCTTGTGATGTGACTGTATCATTCTGTAGTGTTGGCATCCGTGTGCCCTGATCTGTGGGAATTCTCAAGGGTGGGAGCTGTGTGTCCCCCTCTCGCTGCTGTTCCCTCAATTCCCAGCATTTCCCAAATGGTGGCTGATGACAACCCGGTGGTGTAGCAAGGAAAGGATGTTTTTCCTCTCCAGAGCCCCCCCACCACACCTGCTTCTTGACATGGTCGATCTCGGATCTCAGCCTCTGGATCATGCGGTTGATCTCAGCAATCTCCTGCTTGGTGTTGCGCAGGTCATCCCCGTGTCTGCCTGCTGTGAGCTGCAGCTCCTCATACTGAAATCCGGGGGGCGGGGAGAGAGAGATAGAGAGACAGAGAGAGAGAGAGAAGTTGGTGTATATGGGCTTTCACATCCCAACAGTGGCTCACCTTCCAAACAAGGCATTTAACACATTTGGACCATGAAGCTAGTGGCTTCTCCACAAGGGTTTTTAGGGAAAGTTGATGTGGTCCAAGGTCACTGGATACCGTACATTGATCACAGACCCTCTCTCTAATGGACCACTGTCTGCCTAGTTCATTTGTGGACCAATAGTGTTCTGTATCCTGTCTCTGAGAGCCAGGATCAGGGAGAGGACAAAAGCAAAGAACACTAGGTCTTTATCTAGTGACTTGGGTTCTTGGCTTATCAAATTTGGACCTAAATTCTGTAAATGCCTGGTCTATGAGGGCAGGGTACACATCTTATGAGAAAATATCAGCTTCCTTATAGCAGATTTCCCAGCAAAGTCTGTAGCCTCACTAGTGATCTGGTAGGGGACACAGGCATTCCTGTGTCCAGCTGTCAACTCAAGGCTCACCTTGCTCTGGTACCAGGACTCAGCCTCAGCCCGACTCCTCTGAGCAATCTCCTCATATTGGGCTTTGACTTCAGCGATGATGCTGTCCAGGTCCAGGTTACGGTTGTTGTCCATGGACAGGACCACAGAAGTGTCTGAGACGTGGGTTTGCATCTGAGACAGTTCCTGCAGAGCAGAAGATGGTCAGATCATCTTTTCCTGTGGCACTGACTGAGGTATCCAACCCCAAGATCTTCCACCCTTTGCCGAGCCCCATCACAGCAAATAAAAGAGGAGTGGAGATGCTTACTGCGTCATACAGGGCTCTGGTGAAGTTGATCTCATCTGTGAGAGCATCTACCTTGGCTTGCAGTTCAACCTTATTCATGTAGGCAGCATCCACATCCTGGGGAATAAGCCAACAACTTGGAGTCAGCTGAGCCCTCCTTCCCAGTCTCAACACCTTTGAGTCTCCCCCTCTATTCCCCTCTTGGATGTGTGCAGAGATGCAGAGTCCTCCCCCTCTACAAAGGAACATGATCCCCTGATCTTCATTAGCTCACCTTCTTCAGAGTCACAAATTCATTCTCTGCTGCTGTGCGCTTGTTGATTTCATCTTCATATCTAGAATTAGAACAAGGTAAGACATAAGTGAGCCAGAGCTGGAGATAATACAGCAAGATCAGCCTGGGATCCCAACTTTCCACAAAACAGATATGTCCAAATTGAGCTTTCTGGCCACTGAGCCACACACACACATATTGTGTGTGTGTGTGTGTGTGTGTGTGTGTGTGTGTGTGTGTTGTGTGTGTGTTCCCTCAATCCCTCATATCTTTTCTCTCCCCACCCACCTCTATGGCCCATTTGTTCTCTGGGGGTTGTTTTGGGGCAATGATTGTGATATTCATTTCCATGGACCTGTTTCCCTACGGAGCCATGCCCACATCTGGACATGGTCACCCGGCAGTCTTGAAGAGTCTGCTTCAGGGAACTGAAGCCCCTTTTCTCCTTGAACTCACTTGTTCTTGAAGTCCTCCACTGTGTCCTGCATGTTCCTCAGCTCTGAGTCCAGGCGGCCCCTCTCCCCCAGGATGCTGTCCAGCTGTCTCCTGAGGTTGTTGATGTACTGTTCAAACAAGGGCTCCAGGTTCTGCCTCACGGTCTTGGTGCCCTGCTCCTGGAGCAGAGTCCACTTGGTGTCCAGGACCTTGTTCTGTTGCTCCAAGAACCGCACCTGGAGGAAGAAGACAAGGTGATTATTTGCCGGAGAAAGCAAAGGAGAAAGAGGTAGGCATTGTCAGGTGCCCAGGCATGCCTGGAGTGTCACCCAGCATGTGTGTGTACACAGCATGTACAGAGGCTCAGGCTGACTGTGTTGGACCCACAAAACTATTGTCTTCCCACTCCAGTGATGCTGTGTGAAATTCTTCCATGGACATATGAAGTCTTCTCACTAGGTAAGTTATGCTGCCTATCAGTGACGTGTAATAGTTCTTTTCTTTTTTTTTTCTTTTCATTGAAAAACACAATCATATATTTCCCCATTATGTTGCACAATTGTTTTTTTTTTTAATCGTACTTCAGTTAAAGGCATATTAAGTGTGGAGAATCTAACAATTAAATCCAATGTAGCTAATGATTGGATTCCAATAACTTCTGTTTTAGTACATGGTTGCCCTCTACAACAAACACCTTAATGGTCATGCTCTGCTTCTACACAGTTAGTATTCCTATGGCTATATAAATGTTTCTAGGTCTTTTTCTTCTAAGCCAGGCAGAAGTCCTTTTCTTTTCTTTTTCTCACTCTTTCCTCATGCCCAGAGTCCTCGAGAAGATATCTGCTGGCGTTATTTTTTAATCTCTAGAAATCTTCAGAAGGGAAAGCTAACCCATTCCATTCTCTCACTGCCTTCTTTTGCTTCATGCTTATCAAAAGTAGAGTATTCTTCCCTGGGAATGATGAAGGACACGTAAGAGACCCAGTGGTTTTAAATGATTTCCATCACCTTCTGCCTGTTGTGAACATGGAGCCCACCTGGCATCCCAGGGGAGAGCGAGTCCCAGTCCCCTTCTCCCTCCCTTCCTCCTGAGTCTCCCCCTGGTAGGACACTGGTTACTTGTCTAGTTTGGGGACTCTGGAATCCCAGTGGAGGCAGGTGCTCGTGGCTCACCTTGTCAATGAAGGAGGCAAACTTGTTGTTGAGGGTCTTGATCTGCTCCCGCTCCTCAGTCCTCACCCTCTGGATGGTGGGGTCGATTTGCAGGTTCAGAGGAGTGAGGAGATTCTGGTTGACAGTGACCTCTTGGATACCTCCAGGAGGGCACACAGGGAAGCCAGAGCCCCCATAGCCACCAGCAAAGCCAGGTCCACCACCGAGCCCAAAGCCACCACCAGCTGCACCACCAAAACCAAATCCACTTGCAGCTCCACCTCCATAGCCAAAGCCACCTCCAACTCTGCCACCATATCCACCACTGATGGCACAGCTGCCCCCTCCGATGGAGATCCTCTTGGAGCCACCCAGGCCATAGAGGCTCCTGCTGCCAAAGCCGGCTCCTCCACATGCTCCACCGAAGCCACCACTGCCCCTGGAGCGGGACACGGAGACACTGCTGAAGCCAGAGCGGCAGACCCCTGGGACTCTGGCTGAGCTGGCGCTGAAGCCACGGTGGCTGATGCTTTGGCTCCTCATGGTAGATTTGCTAGACATGGTTCCTAAAGAGGAGAAGGCTGAAGAAAGCGTGAGAGGCTGAAGGGTAGGGCTGAGAGGAGCAGATCTGTGAGATGAACCTCCCAGCAGCAGTTTATATATGGTGGAAATGGGTTGGGCTCCGTCCTGGAAGGTGAGCTTGCAGATTGGGAAGGGCTGATCTTTACAAATAGTGAGATCAGCCCCAGCCTCTTAAAGGTATGAAATATGAAGATTGCTTCTTTGGCTTCCTTTAGTCATGGAGAAATTCTCTTGCCTTCCAGCCTTGATGATCCCAACACAATAAGCCTGGATGTGAATTCACTGAAGTCATGAGTTAGTCATGTTCTCAAACAAAGGAGACAAGGAGCTGATTTGTGGTAATTGTCCCTTCCTTCTGCTTACTCAGACACTCCTCTGTGTGCCCCCTTCCCACACAGGTTTTCTCCTCTACAAGCACCACCCTTCCCATCAGGGTGGGACTGACTCTGAGTTCTTACAGGCATTTGCCCAAAGGCCTGCACAAGAAGTGGCCTGCAGTGTTTTTCATCATGTTTCTGCCTGTCCTTCTATAACTCCTGGCTTCTTCCTGGTGGCCTGGGCATGAATATGGGGGCTATGCTGGGGACATAATCTTCCTTTGAAAAACAAATGGCCAGAAGAGTTGGGTTTTTACACTGTGTAGTCAGTGTTTGTTCTCTCCTGTGTGGTAAGCTCGCCAATTGGCAGTTTCCTGAAAGGACAGGAGACACCTCTGTCTAGAGACCTGACTTCTGCACCTCCCTCCCCAATTTTTGCTTCCCAATGACTTGTTATTATGCAATTTTTTTGTCCAACTGGAAACCATAAACACCTTTTTCTCTCCTGTTTTGGAATGATCACTTAGAACTCAAGAAATCTAAAATGAGTAGGACAAAAATTATTGAGGAATTCACTGAATTTTGATTCCAACACACTTTGACACTTCTTAGGAATAAAAAAACAGACACCTTAATGGGGTGTGTACAGAAAGTTGAGGGGCATATGGAAACAGTGAATCATAATAATGTGCCCTTACATGTGTGATTATGTCACAAGCAAATTCCAAATTTATATTTCTAATCTCAGCACTTAAAATCTGAAATGGCTACATACCTCAGAGGGAAAGAAGGCTGTGAGTGAGTGTGGTGTTTGGCCTGGAGAGGAATGAAATCCTTTTTCCCTGCCCACACATTAAGTACTGAGCACCAGGAGCACTGAGGGCAGTTTTAGGCATGCTGTTCTGTGAGAACACATGGGTCAATGGCAACTAGCAGAGGAAGGACAAACTCGCACATTGAGATGACCAGAGAAAAGCTCTTGTTACTATCTTAGAAATGTCCCATCTCTCCAGTGTTTTGGGGTGCACAATATCCAGGAGAGCAGGTCATTTCCTGCCCAGAAGAGGTGCTATCTAAACATAGGGAAGAGATACCTTCTCAAGACAACGGAAACAGCTCCCTTCTCTCCACCCTCGTTACACACTGTGCTTCCACCCATTTCCGGGAAAGAAGTGTTCCTTCCCATGGCATGGTGTTCTGCTCTGTTCTACTGTCTTGAGATAGAGGTTTGGCATAGATGATGCAGGAGGGGTAGGAAGGATTGGCAAGTCAGGTGGGAGCAGCACACATTTTTCCCAGTATTTATATCTATGCCCGCTTTCACAGTGCAGTGGTGGAGTTGGGTGGTTGCCACTAAGCGTGCATGGCTTGCAAAACCTAAGAGTTACTATGTGGCCCTTTAAAGAAAAAGTATATCAACCCCTGGTTAAGAGCATGGGCTCTGGAGACGGAGTGCTCAGGCTCATAACTAGGCTCGTGTATATCTTTGAAAATTATTCATTTTTATAGTTGTAAAGTGGGGGTGAAAATAATATCTACCTCACAGTGGGGATTGGAGGAAATAATGCAGAGGTCTTAGCATAGGGCCTGCACAGAAGTGCTCCATTAAGCTGAGTTAATATCACTATTACAAGTAGGAAGAAGATTGGTGAGTTCAGGGATACATGAGAATCCTCAAGAACTGGAAGTACAGGTGCAGCTGTGTGTGTGGTGGAGGGGGCGGAGACAGAAGAAATGATGCCAACACTGAAGGTCTGTGTCCTATTGGTAAGGACCTGGAAGCCACACGTGGGGGTTTGCACTTGCTCCCAGAAGCAGCACAGCACCATGGAAGTCAGAAAAGCAACAGAAGCAGAAGTATGATTTATAAGTTTCCTGGTGCTCAAAGCAACAGGACAGGGAAAATTTCTGCTGTAGTGCAGATGCAGCTCTCTGCCTAAGTGGTTGGAAGGAAGCTGTGGCCAAAGGGAAGGAGGATCTGTGTCTTTGGCAGGAGCCGAGCAGACTGGTCTCTCTGTCCTGTGTGGAGTCAGGCTTTCTTGGGCCATCCTCTGCTGGGCCCTCTTCTGTTCTCAGGGCTGTGCATGCAGGGACAGGCTGCCATCAACCAACACGGATGACCAGATCAGTGCCTCCTTTAGTACTGATTTTATATCTTCTCTTGGGTGGGGGAAGACTCATCCCTGAATAAGTGTGTAATTCAGTAGTAGCAGGAACTTCACATTCAACCAGTTATCTGGTCAGAGGATGGTTTATCTTGAACATATTACCCACTTCCCAACTTGTCATGTGCACCAGAGAGCACCAGCAATATAAACTATTAAGTTTCATTTCCCCACACAAGTATTTCTCCTATTGATAGATTTCTTTTTGTGTGTGTGTGTGTGTTTTGCTGTTTATTTTATTTTATTTTATTTTTTTATTTTCAGCATAACAATATTCCTTATTTTTGCACCACACCCAGTGCTCCATGCAATCCGTGCCCTCTCTAATACCCACCACCTGGTTCCCCCGACCTCTCACCCTCCTGCCGCTTCAAACCCCTCAGATTGTTTTTCAGAGTCCATAGTCTCTTATGGTTCACCTCCTCTTCTAATTTCCCCCAACTCTCTTCTCCTCTCTAATTCCCCTTGTCCTCCGTGTAATATTGATAGATTTCTAAGACACTCTGCAATATATTATTTTATATTATATTCTCTCTAAGATATATATAAAGGTACATTTTCCCCCCAAGATTCTCATCACTACCTGCCAGGGAATGATGCCCTGAGAACCAATTCTGGAAACGCTGACCATAAGTGAGGTCAGCTAGGAGGGCTCATGAGAGCTGCTGTAGGCTCCTACAACACAGAGGAGGAGTTACAGTGGAGGGGCGCCATGGCAGGTCCACTTCTGATTTCACTCTTTTCTTTGTACTTGATTCATTTGCCCTTGATTTTCTGTATCTTTGACTGCAGGGAGGTGCCCTCTCTTCTGCATTCTACTTTGACACTGCCGTTCTGGGATAAGCTGTCCTTTTTCCTCCTCTACAGTCCAGTCTTCTGCCCTCTGCTCCTGCTTCCACACTCAGGAGAGGGATGTGCTCACAGGGGACTTGCTGGATGGTTAGAGAATTGATTTCTTCAGTGAAATCTCTCCAGCGTTCCTGAATCATGTCCCGTGGTGGTTATATTTTCCCAGAGGAGCAGGGTGGAGAAGGCCAGATCTTCATAACAAGATTGAAACAAAGGGTGATAGTTCAGGCAAATATGTGAGAGAAACTAAAGCAAGCAACGTGAGTAACACCGATGACAGCTAGCCTCCTCCCCAGAAGGCTGCCGAACCCAGCCTCTTCCCTCTGCCAGGACATCCTCCATTCATTGCTGTTGTCTGTTGGTCTTGGAATGAAGAAGGCCTTTGTTCTAGGGCCCAGGGGTTCACCTGTGCTCCTTGCATTTTTCCCAGCATGGAGGAAGGCAGCAAGGAAGCCCAGAAGCCCGAGTCCATGCAAAGTCTGCCTCAAGAGGAATTTGCCTTGTCTTTCTGCCTCCCTGGGTGGAGCTGGCAGATGAGACTAAGGGCTAGGCTATTATCATTATCCATCAAAAGTTTAAGACTGAGTGCCTAACCCTGCCAGCCCCAGCGCAGGATGATGCTGTTCAGAGGGAATCCCACAGACCCTGTCCTGTCCCTAGGGAGCACCCACTGAAAGAAAAACACATGCAGCCACCTGTGTAAAGACTGTAGACAGTAGCACCAAAGTTGGAGTAGAAAGGCAGCCTTCTATGATCTACAGAGCAGTTCAGACAATATGAAAACTTCCAAAGCTTCATGACTTAGTAACTAGCCTGTCGTGAACACATAGTTGCACTAAACTGTAGAAATTCCCTTGTACTTCTCAATTTCCACACACAAGGTGCATCCATTTTTTCAGAGAATACAGTGACAGGGTCATATATCTGGACATGGACTCTGAGTGGCTTTACCCACAGCTTCTGGAAGTTTCTGACAACTCCTGTCTTCCAGTGAGAGGAGGCTCTACTTCAGGTCAGTTATGGGGTCCAGAGCTCACTAAGAGAACACCTTCCACAGTGCTCAGTGAGCTGCTCAGTTCAGAGCATTGCCTGTCTGTGGAACTGTGGTCCCGGACCCCCTGACATCACCCCATGTGACCTCTAGTATAAGTTTAGAACCTCATATTTGTCCTACTTCTTCCTCACAGCCTGGAAGTAATGAAGGGAAGCATTATGGCTATCATTTCAACCACCAAAAGTAATATACACAAAGGGTCTGGGATGAATTGGGTTACTATTATTAGCATTTAGGATGGATTGATGCATGTCATGTGCCTTGAAGGACACAAATTGAGTGTTTGTATAATTATAGAAAAACTGTCATGTTCCTTTAAACATTGATTTTGGTGCATATTCCTATAAAACCTAGTTACTGCGTAACACATTTTTGAAAGTGTTCATTTCTTTTTGACTCACCCTGTACACATTGGTCTTGGGTCGGTAGGGGCATTTGAATGGTTGAATAACTGAAAGGTGAATAATTAAGCTGGCATTGGGACAGATTCAGATGAAGGGGACAATGCTTGCCTTCCCTGATCAACATGGAGAGATAGTAGCACTCAAGTTGGAGTAGAAACACAGCCCTCTATGACATATAGAGCAATTCAGACAGTATGGAAACTGTCTGGAGGAAGTGAAGCATATTGAGGCTCTGAGGCAAGAAGCAAT